AAACCTTAGTGCTCTCTGTCTGGGCTTAGTGTGATGCAAGTAAATGGAGTAAAAACATATGTCGTTCAGGAGAAGAGAAGGCTATTTATATTTGATAACACAACCAAAACATAACCAAGTCATTTTGTAGAATATGGGGTTAAATTTTTGTGTTTTGCTCCCATAGAAATTTTCTTTGTCAGCTTGCTTTTGTTTTAGTTTACAGGATATCCTTAAACACCATTCACTAGCATAGGAAGTAGGAGCCTTCTAACTTCTGTGCTCTAAGGAAAAGGTTCTCCCCTGTATTTCTCAGCCACCGGGCTCTGTGGAAGTACCTCAGGAGTCCAGGGAGGGGAAATGGGCATGGTTCCCTGCTTCCAGCAATTGGCAATTTTTCCCTTTCTATCTCTTTTGCAATTTGCGTTCCCGTAAGATTTGGCTTAAGAACAGATTCCAAGGCTTCTTCGTTAAACATTTGCAAAGCGCCTGCGGCTCCTGACGGAGGTGGCTGTTCTCAGACCTGGAGTGTCTCTGCGTTCCCTGTCTGGGGAGATAGCAGGGACGCTGAGCAGATAAGGAGTGAGGGATGCCAGAAGGTGGGGGCAAACAAACGCCTTGTGTCAAGTGCCTGCCTTTCCTGAACTGGCCATGCAGGCACTGTGGCTCATTCAGTGCTGCCCTTCTTCCTGGCTGGAACCAAGAACGCCTCTCCTAAAGCTCTGGGGCAGAAATTCCCCTTTTGAGAGCAGGAAAATGAACCAGTGTGGAAGGCATTTTTGGAAAGAAAATACTTTCTCTTTGATTTTTCTTTTCTCTCTGTGTGTGTGTGTGTGTGTGTGTGTGTGTGTGTAATAATGATGCATGAGTAATATAAAGCATGAGGATTCAAGGTGGTGAGGTGATTGATCAGCTGATGGAAAAGCTAGCAGAGAATTCAAATGAACAAATGCTTTATTGCATGAGCAAATGTGCAAAACAGTGTGCACACAGAATTTCTGAATATGTTTGGGGGGCATTTCAGTGTTTTGGTCATTGATTTGTGGCAAATGATTAATAATAAAATGCTTTTTAGTAAAACGATGAGTGACATGTCATTTAGCTAGCTCAACCTTCCCATGGGTCAAGGTCAATTAACTATGTGGCCCTGAAGGTGGCCCTGTTGGACATAGTGAGTCATTTCTCTTTCTCATCAACTGTAACAGCACAGGTTGTGATGTTTGGTGTCCCTGCTTTCTCTGAAAGAGGGGTGAACCCCGGAAGGCCTCCTCCCAACTAGTTCCCTTTGGGGATACTGGGGCTTCCTAAAAACCTTTCCAAGTCCCCCAGCACTAACATGAGGGCTTTCTCAGCATCGTAGACCTTCCTTCAGTTTTGGCTAAAGTTCAACGCCAGCAGGAGAAGGTGACAGATTTAAAAGTAAGAGCATGTGGGCCCGTAGGACTGGAGGCCCAGGATGCTTTGGAGATGAATTTCCACCTCCTTCATTTCCCAAGGTGCCTCCTAAGGCCTCTTGAACTTTCTGGGCCAGAGAAAGATGAGCTGTGACCAAGTCATTGGCAAAATTCCCAGGAGCACTTCTGTGTTACTTTGTGGGGACCGCAGCTTGCATGACTGCTAGATTCAGCCTCTGTCTCTCTCATGGTAAACAAGTTTCTCAGGGGGTCGGCTGTGCCCTATTTGGTGGGGATGGGGTGACAGGGGGAGAGAGGTACTAAGACATAAGTCCAAACCATTAATAACCCCTTTCCTCTTTGAAATGACTGGAGTTTCCAGAGGGCTTTTGGCCCTCAGCACTACAATTAGGAAACAGAAAACCCAACCAACAAAAACACATGTAAACCACAGACGAAATCACCACTCTGTTATAACCCATAACCCCCCCCCCCCCCCCCCGCCAAAAAAAAAAGCACTATCCAGCCAGAACTGATTTAAGCCCATGGCTGGGTTTTCTGAGCTCCCAAAGGTCTGAGAAGATCAGGCCAGGCCCAGGCCGGGTGAGCACTCACAGGGCCCACTCCAGGGTTTGCTGGGGCCGCTCCTTGCTCATGCTGAGTGCTCCCCAGCAATCCATAACATCTCTGCTCCTTCTTCAGAGTATTCACATCCAGACCATAACTATATGGTCTCTAAGTGAACAAACTGAGAAGCCATGACATGGGTCTGTGAGTCGGCTCTGAAGCCTCACTCTCCCTCGGCGGCTCTTCATTCAGGGCCGGCAAACTACCGCCAGCAGTTTGAGTCTTGCTCTTGGCCTGATTTTGTATTTTTGTATGGGCTCACACCTCAGAACAGCTCTTACATTTTTAAACTTTTGTTTTGTTTTTGAAAGAATGTGTGATAGAGGCTGCATGCAGCCCAAACGCCTAAAATAGCCGCTCTCTGGCCAGTTCCAGATAAGGGCCAGCCCCTGCTCTCACCTCCTTATTCTGCAGCTGGTGGTGAAGGGCCAGGATCCTGGATCACTGCTCACGTTTTCGACCCCAAGGAAAAATGATCGTCATGCATCCTCACCTTACTTTTGCCAAATTCAAGTCCAGCAGAGGGACCCATGCTAGGGAGGCACGTCCGTAAGCTTGTGAATGACGCTGGCTGACCATGGCACCTCCCTGAGACTCCTACGTGGACACGGACCTCTGGGGAGACTCCCCCTCCACCCCCTTGCCACGGCTCCTCATGGGGAAGGGAGAGGGTGGTGTTGCCACATGGCTCGGCTCTGGGGGAGGCCACCGGTCCTGGCCGTCAGCTAGAATGGCTCCGTAGCCACAGGCCCCTTTGCTGGGTTCCTGCCACCGATCATGCTCGCTTGGGCCTTGGACACCCAAATCCTGTGCTGTTTGCATTTCTGCTGCCTCATGGCTTGCGGGCCTTGCAGGTGCCTTTGGGAGGGATGCGCAGGTGCATCTAAATACGAGTTCATCCTCCCCGGTTTTCTGCATCTCTCCAGTCTTGGGGACTTCTTTGCGGAATGACCTCTTCAGTCTCAGTTCTGTGAGAGCGACTCTAGCATTGCGGGGGGAGCTCTTGGAAAAAGAATAAAGGACCCATGTGGTCCCCCATGGCATTGTCACTGACCGGCTATGTGACTTTAGGAAACACACCGCGGGCCTTCATACATTTTACCCCTGAAACCGAGCTGGTATCTCTTCAGCTCAAACACAGATGTTACGGGGTCCAAGCTGCTGTCTGGAATGCTATTCATTCCTGTGATTCTTACGAAGAATGGAAGCAGCGTGCATGGTATTTCTCACAAGTTTATATTTAGGAGCATTTTTTAAAAGAACATGTTGGCTGACTCTTAAGTCCTCAGTATCCTTATTCTTACCCTATCCCTGCTGGAAGCACTCAGAGCCCCTTCAGCAGGGCACATGACAGGCGGATAGCAGAGTCAAGGCCAGAGCCCAGGCTTTCCGACTCCTAATACTGACACACAGCGTAACCCACGGCTTTTCTTGGCCATTAGAGGATCACCTAGAACATGAATGTCTCTTACAAAGTTTGGGTGGAAGCAGCACGTAGCACTGCCTTGCTTGTGACAGATAAGCAGTAAATGTTCAACTGAGTAATTCTGGGCTGGGGATATTTGCTGTTTGGGGGACATTGCCCTAGAAAAGTGTTTTGTTCTGTTTTTTGTTGTTGCTGTTGTTTAATGTCTATCTCACAAATCAGACTTCTGAAAGGATTATGAAAACCATACTGAATCTCAAATAGACATTTGTAAAAGCCACTGTTATTTTCTTCCCCCTTCTTATTTCTGCAAAGGCCAATTGTGGGCAGTGCCTGACAGTCTTGAGAAAGGCAGTTATGTGTGTAGCTCCATTTTTGCATTTATTTACTAGGTGCTGAGGTTTAATAGGCTCTACCTCCCCACTGCCCTCGGACGCAGCCCGTTACAGGAAACATCTGGCAGCAATTTGCCTCTCCCTCCGTCGTGTCTTCTGAACTTTGAAATAAAACGTCCCTGAAAATCTTACTTAGGGTGAGTGTCTGACACCCAAAGGTCCCACCAGGAGCTGGTCGGTTTTGCTGGTTATGGTCTGTCCAAGTAAGCAGTTAAAAACTACCATGGGCATTTACAGTTTTTCCATCCTTTTTTTTTTTTTTTTTTTAATGTTTTGTTTATTTCTAGGAGAGAGAGAGAGAGACAGCATGAGCAGGGGAGGGTCAGAGAGAGAGGGAGTCACAGACTCTGAAACAGGCTCCAGGCTCTGAGCTGGCAGTCAGCACAGAGCCCGACGCGGGGCTCGAACCCACGAACCGCAAGATCATGACCTAAGCAAAAGTCGGACGCTTAACCGACTAAGCCACCCAGGCGCCCCCAGTTTTTCCATCTTTAAACACAGTAAACTAAAGGGGCAGCTGGGTGGCTCAGTTGGTTCATCGACCATCTTCGGCTTGGTCATGATCTCGTGGTTTATGAGTTTGAGCCCTGCATTGGGCTCTCTGCTGTCAGTGCAGAGCCTGCTTCAGATCCCCTGTCTCCCTCTCTCTCTGCCCTTGCTCCTGCTTGCTCTCTCAAAAATAAATTGAAAAACAACATTAAAAAAACCCAACTCAGTAAACCAAAAATACGCTTCAGGAGCAAATGAGAGGGTAGGAGACATGCCCTCAAATCAGTGAAAATGCGTTCCGAACAACACTGGCCCTGTGCTCCTTCCCCAGCGCTTATTTCTGTCGCTATGACCAGCTTTCACGGCTGTGACAACTTCTGAAGCAATTACCACCCTTCCTGTGTGTCTCACAGCTTTTCAACTCAGCCACTGATTGCGGTCCATCCCTCTGGAAACCTATATTCTATATGTTGAAACACACTGATTGAAAATAATTCTCCCCAGGGGGCTCCCGGCTGGCTCAGTCGGTGGAGCGTGCAACTCTTGCTCTTGGGGTCGTGAGTTCAAATCCCACGTTGGGCATAAGCTTACTTAAAAAAAAAAGAAAAAAGAAAAAGAAAATCATAAAAAAAAAATCAGACTCTGACCAACTCCCAGAATAGAATCACTTTTAAAATAGGACAGTTTCAGTTTTGTTTTTTCTACCTTTATTACATTTTTTGCATTTGAAATACAGACAGCCCACTCTCTGACACCACACAAAAGACACCCATTCTTGTGATTTTAAAGTGCATTTCCCCTTTGTGTATAAAAATATGTATTTTTTAAAAACATGGCAGACGTTTCATCACAAGGCACTTTTAGGCACCAAATGAAGACGAGCCTTCGATTTTACATTCACACTGAAGTAAAAGTGAGACACGGGCCATCGCAGCTGCCCTCCTGGGGGTCCTCATGGGTCCAGCAGTCTCTGGGAATGGATCACTCAAACCACAAAAACATTCATGGCTTTACAACGTGGGCCGCCGAGCTTGACCACCAAGGTGAGGCGAAGGCGCATGTAACCGCAGCCTCCCTTCCCAGTCGAGAAGTGCACAGAAGCTGCCAGAAGGTCTTCCATGACTCTGGAAGGTCCCATTATGTTCATGACTTTTTATCCCCAAGTTTGGTGATCGGTGCCTCCCCCCGCCCCGGGGGAGACAGCCCAGAACCCAGCAGGGGATTTTACACGACAAACCGAGCCGAAGACCAATCAAGGCTTACGTTCATTCCATGGAGAGGGAAGGGCCCAGAAAACAGGGCACTTGTAAAAAATGAGCTGACCCTTTTTTGGTTTATAAGCACAATATACAACCCATGTAACATCCAAGTGACTACAAGTAATGCTTGTTTTTAAAATGCAAATTATATGCAGGGATCAAAACCACAAAAACATTCTTTTAGCGGTTCACAATTTACACCTTTAAAAAAACGTTGAAAAGAGTGATGTTTTGCCACCATTAAAATTAAATCTTAGAGAAAAAAATAAATTCTACCTTCACTCTGAAATTGTTTTAATTTCTGGAGAACTACATAACTCCCATTATTTCTCACAAGTTCCCCTATCCTAAAAATACTTAAAAAAAGAAAAAGAAAAAGAAACCCATTCAAATGCTCCATACCTTCCAGGAAACATTGAAAGCTTATTTATTATATATCTTTCTATAGTCCAGCTTATTTATTGCACCTAATGTGCCAGTGCTCCCCAGGGCATTTGGGGGAAATAAATAGGAAATGAAATGGAGACGGTTCCCCATTTCTGGGCAACTGCAGGGGAGGGAGGCTGGCCCTTTGGGGACAGCCTGGGAAGGGCACTGAGGTTGAGGGACGTGCATCACCATAACCGACAGCTGTCTGAGGGTCAAACCCCCAAGTCAGGCTGCAATGATATCTCCAACTAAGAAACTTGTCACTGTGTGTGGACCTATTTGCTGACAGTGAGCTCTGAAAGAAGGAGAGGTTGTGCTGAAGCGGGCCCCAGGGCCACCTGTGGCTATCCTGGGACAGAACTGGGCCGGAGGGAGACAGACTGACTGCTGAGTAAAGACAGTATTGTTTAGAGGCCCCTCGCTCACAGAATGACTGACAGAGGAGTCTTGCAACCACATTCTCTAGTCAGAGGAGGGTCTTTGCAAGCAGGTGAGGACTTGCTTGGTAGGGCGAGCATCCCAGGTGTACTGGTGGGGATGGGAGGGGTGAGGGGGTTAGGAGGTGGGGGAAGGGGGTTTGCAACCAGTGCCCCCAGCAAAATAGCCGGGGTGAGCTGGGAGTAAAGAATGGTGGGGGGAGGGCTGATGGCTGTTTTAAGAGCTATTATCACGGAATCACTATATTTCAAATTTGACCCCGGAATGTCTTAAGATCACCATGGCTGAAAAACAGCTACCTGGGCATTTTTCTTCTGCATAGAGAATGACCTTGTTACCTTTAGTCCAGTAACACGCAAATGACAGTGCGCCTTGTACCTCACTTGACTTGAAGGAGGGGGCCTGGGACTTCTTAAAACAAAATCTATTCACGACCTCTATCAAATCAGTTTTGTTTCCGTTCAACTTTGATCTGCACTATCAATCGTGCTGACCACCAGATCAGCCACCACGGTAACCATGAAAGTGCCATCTGATGCCTGATGTGAGATATGCTTTGACTAAAACACAGTTCTGCCCAATTTCAGCACAAGAGAAAAATATGACTTTCCCATAGCTTGTATTATGCAATCCCCAAGTCCTACCCACCTGGGACAGGTGTACAAAATAAAGCACAAGGTTGCACACTAGTAACAGCCAGTTTTAGGAACAAGAATTAACACCAACCTCCGTACCACTTAAGAAAATTTCAAAAGTCAAAATATTTTAAAGTTCAAACAAGAAAGAAAAAAAACCAAACTGCAGCCACAAAACTCTAGGAGCCATGACCCTCCATACCTGCCTGACTCCAATGGACAAAGCCACAGAAGCCAGGAGGGTTTTGTAATTGATCTGGAGCACGCAAGCAAAAGACAATTCCTTGCTTGCTTTCCGACTCCAAAAAGGAAAAAGAGGCAGTCATTTAAGCTCCAAAAACAAAACAGAAAAAACCCCCAACCTTCTTCACATACATACGTAAAAAGATTTTCTAAACACCCCCAAGTCCAAACCAATCTTGCCCAAGAAAACTCACAGGGTCTGGGGACCCGCCTGCCCATGAACATCCCAGGAGCCTCACATCAGTATGACCCGACAGCATTTAATGCATGAGTCCAATATGGTTAAGAACAATTAACCTCTGATATTGCAGAGTTGCCAAACACGGAAAAAAAAAAATATGAGACCTTGATGAGGTGTTTCTCCCCGATCCCTTTATGTACTCACACTCCATAAATAAGAAGCCCCAGATCACAGTCCCTGGGTGCTCAGAAAGACTCCCGGATATAGCAGATCACGGTCAAGGTAAGACCAAACACTCACTGAAAGCTTTGAGGATAGATGGGATCTGCAAATTGGAATGTCCTGGGCACGGCAGGAAGAAGGGCTCTCGAGGAAAGGAGAGTCTAAAATCCCTTTGCGAAGAATGAGGTGCCTGCAAACCGGCAGAGCGAGTTCAAACAAATCCTGTAACGGAGCCGTCTGGTGACTCAGAAGCCAGTCCTTCGAAAGCTCCCCCAAAAGCCAAGAGGACAAGCTACCAGCATCCCACCCAGGCTGCTCTGCCTGTCACAGGCCTGCAGTCTGTGACCCAGCACAGGGGCCAGTTACTGTTGCTAACTGGGGCGTCGTCTCTCTTGGACGCGATGTGGGGTCAGAAAGAGGAAATGCCTGTCTCCGTCATAGGCTAATTTCTCTTGCTTATCTTTTCCTCGGCATCTGATGAGCTGCAGAAGAAAATGCAAAAAAAAAAAAAAAAAAGAAAAAGAGCACAGAGATAAAGTGTGAAGGACGTGGCCACAGGAACAGCAGTAACAAGCAGGGAGGATGCGACTGGGCGCAGAGCACGCAAAGATGAATGGCAAGGGTCCAGTGGGAGGTGGCTGGGCATGGAGTGACTTTCAGGTGACCGACTTTCCACGTCCCAGGGGGGAGGAGCGGCCCCTCCAGGCAGCTGGATCACACTCCCGGTTGCATCATTTCGAAGCCACTGTCCTTCAGCTTCACCAGCACTGCCCAGAGGACTGCTGCCCGCCCGGGCCCTTCCCGGCACCCGTCTCCTGCTCCGGCCCCCGTGGCCGCCCTGGGTGCCAAGCAGACTAGCACCCCACGTCTACTCTGGTGTGTGAAACCAGTTCTGTGATCTAACCCTGGCTGGCTTTTGCTGGCTTCAGAAAAAAAAAAAAAATGAATAGGATCCTTTCTTTTTCAAAAACTCTGCCTATGGCAGTTCAAACTGTTCTCCTGGCTTCCGCCTCCACCTGCTCGTGTCTGCAGCTAGGATCCCCTGTCCCCATTCAGCCATGCTCAGCCATGCCCAGTCACTAATAGTAGGGCCCTAGCTTTTCATATCCTAAATAACTAGGCCACTCGGGAAACAGACCGTAGGAACAACGAGGGCTTCCAAACTGGTCAAAGGATATTCCAAAATCTGGTCCATTCTGTGGCTCAGCTGTTCCCTGAGTGGATTTCAGTTCAGCTCGGATGATTCTATAGTTTTTGCCTTTGTTGCTGTCCCAGTAAGTCTGTCCCCGGCACTCAAAGCACACTGCAAACTCCATTCTCTCATAAGACTGAACTTTCTCAGGTAAGCTGATGTCAAAGGAGAACGTGTCCCGATCTGAACCAGCGTAAGTGTCCTTCACATACCAACAGGGAAAGTCTGTGAAGCTTTTCCAGGTGTCAAATGTCATCCGTATTTTCACCGCCTTCTCAAACGCCAGGTTCTGCACCTTCACTGTGCCAGTGATCGCTCTGTCTTTCAGCATACAGTTTTCAAGGCATACATGATCCGTCTGAAGCCGATTTCTAAAGTCTAAGTAATCTGCGGAAGGCTGTGAAAAATCCAAAACAAAGCTCTCACTCTCTGCTGTCGTCAGACTCACAATGTTGTCTAGGAGCTCAGTGATGTTAAATGGAATATCTAACGGGTCATCGAATTCCGAGAACACTTTGACCATTGTCAGGGCCATCCCTTGGTTGTCGGCGAAGGACACCCGCTTTTTCACCTTCTTCTCCTGCATGGTGGGGGCCACGATTCCGCCGGCTTCGTTCTTGCTGCTCAGCTGAATGCAAGGCCTCAGCGGTTTGCTTGGCTTTGGCGGAGCCTTGAAGGCGAACCTCTCTCTGCGCAGGGAAGGGGCCATGCAGCTGTACCTGCACTCTATGTCCACAGCCATCATTGGGTTAGAGGAATAGGCTAGAACCCTGGCAAAGGGGGAAAGAAAGAAACGGCCATGAGATCAGACGGAAGTTAAACTCCTCATTCGAAGTGGGACTGGCGAACAATGTATGCCTTCAGCTCTGCTCCCCTGGCTGCTTGTATTAACTCAAGCGTGGTCCAGCATGACTTTGGTTTCAGGGGACATTAAGACTGTAAAGTGGGGTGAAAAACAGCAGTAGAGTTAAAACAAATGAAAAAACAAACTACATTCACAGGTTTTTCTGTCGGGATTTCTTGGGGGCCTTGAACGCCAGAGCGCCTTGGGGAGTAAGGAGGAGAACGCTGTCTGCAGGACTTCCCAAACTTATCTGACTAAGGAATCCTTTCATTGTGGAGCAGCTTGAGGAACACATGTTCTGAGGAACACACTTTGGTAAATACAGCTTTCACAGGATAAGAAGAAATGAGTTCATGCCACAAATATTGCTATTTCCTATATGGCAGATATTATGCTAGACACTGGGATTCAATGGGGAAGACAGACAGAGCTGTACGGTAGATTTTTATTTTTATTTAACTATTTAAATATTTTTTAACCATTTATTTATTTTGAGAGAGTATATGCGGGGGAGGCGCAGAGAGAGAGAGAGGAAGAGAGAGAATCCCAGGCAGGCTCCTGGCTATTTCAGCACAGAGCCTCATGTGGGGCTTGAACTCACAAACTGTAAGATCCTAACCTGAGTTGAAGGTGAAATCAAGAGCTGGTCGCTTAACTGACTGAGTCACCCACGTGCCCCTAGATTTTTAAATTATAGCATATTTTTCCTTAAAAATAATGCAAACAATTTAGTTTTTTAAACCTCTCATATAGGTGAATTTTTTTTCTGTAGTGAAAATAGCCTCTATAAGAATAAAAGGCAAAAAGAATCATGCTAAAAGATCAGGTTAAATCTGAATTCATAAGAACTATATTTTTCTCTAAGTGAGAAAAAATAAAACCAAAGGATTAAACATAAACTGGGAAAACATTTTATAAAAAGCATGGCAGCAAAGAATTAATACCTTTCTATACAAAGAGTTGTCTCAAAACAATAACAAAGTAGTTGACAGAAAAATGAACAAAGAGCATGAATAGAAAATTCCTGAAAAAAATTAAAATTGACTCATAAATATGCAAAGTGTCCAATCTTAAGAATTAGATTGCCTGTTTTTGCTTACTGAGTTAGTAAATACTTTTTAAAGATAATGTAAACACATGTATTAGTCTAAGTTAGCACAACCTTTCTAAATGTTCTTACCATTTTTGGTTCTTTTTTTTTAACGTTTATCCATTTTGAGATATTCGTTTTATATATATTGAGAGAGAGAGAGAGAGAGCATGAGTGGAGGAGGGGGAGAGAGAGAGGGAGACACAGAGCCAAAGCAGGCCCCAGGCTCTGAGCTGTCAGCACAGAGCTGGTGTGGGGCTCAAACCCCCAAACCGTAAGATCATGACCTGAGCCGGAGTCAGATGGTTAACCGACTGAGCCACCCAGGAGCCTCAATCATTTTTGGTTCTAATATCACATACAGGTAATCATTTGAAGAAGTTAATTAAGAATGCATGGGAGTTAATGTACTAAAATGTTCAATGCAACATTCTAGGGAGGAAAATGTGAGAAAATGAAAATACCCTAAATCACCAATAACAGGCATCTGACTAAATCAAGTATACCACCACATCCAGTGATAAAGTTTTATATCATCATTAAAACTATTATTTGGGAAAAAAGGTTAAGTTGCATGGAAAAAATGTAGAATATATTATTAATATAAAAAGTAGAGAAGATAAAATTGTACAGAAAGACTAGACTTGTGGGGAAAAATATTAGGTATATGCACAGAAAAAAGACTAGAGATAATATTTAAAACCATTAGAATAACCAGGTGATGTGATTTCAGGAACTTTGTTTTCCTGCTTTGTGTTTCTTGTATTGTCTAAAATCACATCGGGGGTAAAATGAATCTAATAAAATGCCTCGAATATTTAAGATTGGCCGAAAACCTATCCTAACGCTATGGCCTCACTAAAGCCAAGCAATTTTTATCATTCCACTTACCATGGCAGGTTTATATTGATTTGACAGTTACAATGGGCTAATGAAGAAGTCCATAATGAAACCAGGATTAACATCTGGTCTGTGAACAGTGGACTCGTTCCCAAACCTCCCATCGCTCGCTATGGCAAAGGTGGAGGGATGTGGTGGTGTTTGGGGTGCTTACTCTCAGGCCTCTGCTAGTTCCTGCCCACCTGGTAGGGGCTTCAAGGTGACGGTGGTCATTGAGGAGAAGCAACAGGCAAAATGTTGCTCATCTCCTAACAGGAGCTGAGACCCCTGGTTCAGTCCAATAAATATCTCCTTTTCATCTTCTGATCTTGACTAATCAAACATATGAAGAAAAATAAGAATGAAGACATCCCATTTTCCAAAGGAAATACACGCCTTCCCTAGGATGCAGGAACCATTTAGTGATGACTGACTGGAAAAACATACACATTCAGAGACAAAACAATAGATTATAGGCAAAAAGTAGTTACCTAAACATACATTTTAGAGGATATTTGTCTTACTGTTTCTCTCACAAAATCCACGAGTGAAAATTTTAGGAGCAAATTTGCTTTCTATTATCTGGTCTACCCATGTAATTGTTCTAGAAAGTAAAAGTTCTGACTGAGTTAGGCAAGATAGGTTTACAGAGGGTCTGTGGGTTGCCTCATGAGTTCAATGTAAAAACAAACAAACAAACAAACCCTACGGGCTTCTGGGTGACTCAGTCAGTTGAACATCTAGCACTTGATTTTGGCTCAGGTCATGATCTCATGGTTCATATGATCAAGCCACACATTGGGCCCTGCACTGACACTGCAGACTGCTTGGGATTCTGCCAGAGGGGGAGCTCTCTCTGATCTCCCCTGATTTCTCTGTCTCAAAATAAATAAACTTTAAAAAAAATACTCTGTACTCACAAAGCACCTGAATATTACTTTTCCCCTGTCCACTGCAAAACTTGGTTAGAATGCACTGGAATTGTACTTTCAGCTTTAATGTTAACACAGGTAGTGGTTGCTGTTGTTGTTTTAAAATTAAATGTGGATTAAAAATATCCCCAAAGTGGGCATCCCACTCTTGCATCTCAGCCCCTCCCACTCTGCCCACACTTGACAACCTGGGTATGACCCAAGGTGGGTGGAGTTCCCCTCAGTCTGCTACAGCCCTTCCTCCTTGCCTGAGTCAGCACAAGGTCAAGTGTAAGTTCTCTATCCTCTTCTCTGTATCTCTTCAAGACTGAAAACCTACCTCCTACGTGCTTTCCTGCACAGTGTTAAAACAGCTCATTAGAAAAAGGCTGGGAAACTCTCAGGACACTGTGGAAGCAGAATTCTAAAACCAGTGGATCAGTTAAACAATCTGCACACTTGCACTAAAGGCACTCTCAATTTCTAATCTTAAAGATTAAAAAGACTTAGTTGAAGACCTTGGTAAAGTTTCCCAGTTTGGACCCAGTGGGTGTAAATTTGCCCCTGAGCTCCCTTTTATCACCAAGCTGTTAAGAACTAGTGGAACTGGGGGTCAGAAGGTGCTGGTCTGGTCAGAGCCAGCTCTAATTAAACAATTCCACCGGCACTTTCTAGAGCCTAATTGCTTTTGCAACATTCTTCCATGAAAGGCAAAAATAAAGTGAACTACCTGGCGGCCCAAGGGTTGCTACCAGGGCTACTGCCTCAGGTGCATTGCACAAGCAATCACTGCCCAGCATCCCCTTCACTATATCAGCGTCACCGCTGTGGCCCCATACATGGTATGATCTGACCATTGGCCACTTGCCTATCCTTGCCGTTGGGTCCCAGTTTTTATGAACCAGATCATTCTATAAGAAGCAGTGTACCAAATGCTGGTTTGATGGAAGTTTTCCTGACCCTCTGCTCAGGAATTCCCCAATGGACTGTGACAGGGATGTCCCTCAGCCACAAGGACTCCTAGCAATGGAGATGTATGAGGAAAGTGTCCTAAGTTTCTGGAAACTTAGATGTATGAGGAAAGTGTCCTAAGAAAGGCACACGGACAGGTGCTTTATCCTCAAATGGCATGAAAATGGTCTGTACCATCACAGCGTGCATCAGGCTGCCTCTCAGGCCCCCCTTTCCTGACACTCTCCCTGGCTGCTTAGCTTCTTCCTCTCCCAGGCCAGGGAATATGAGTCCCCAAGCTTGGCCAGGGCAAAAGCCAGGAGGAGAAGACACAGACACATATTTGAACAAGCAGAGCATGACAGAGGACTGGACATCAGTTCGCTGCAGGACAACATCAGGAGAGCACGAATGGCTGTTATTCAGAGTCTCAAAAACTTGAGTTCCAAATAGATGCCTAAGAGATCAATTTTGCTCTATGAGGCACTGGGCCATGCCCGAGAGTAGATTTCAGGGTTCCTGGTCACAAGAGGGCAAACCCCAGCACTCCTTGAAAATTGTAGAAAACAGGGAGAGTTTCGTAGAAATACTTTCCCTGTTCCATTAGTGACAAAAAACACACCTTCTCAGGACATCTGGTCAGGCTAGATGTCACGGTGGTTTTTCCTGTGAAAACTATATACTTGTATAGAAAATAATCACAGGACCCTCACAGTTTCAGACAGCTGAGCTACTGACTTTTAGGCTGTGCCTTTTATAGGAATAAACTTTTCTGGGGATTGAGGCCAGGACATTTTCCCTCCATTTTCATACTCTGATAAGAAAAGGCAGAAAAATCAGATGCACCAAAACCCATCAGGAACACTGAAACTACGTTAGGTAAGCACTCACAGCTAGGTGATATTTTTTAAAAGACATGTCCATCCGCCCCTTTGGCATTACTTTAGTCCCCTCCCCCCCCCCCCCCCAAAAAAAAGGTTTGGCTGTCACAGTATGAATAAAGTTGACATATTTTCCTTTGTACTGAGACCATGGGGCCCTTGTTCACAGCCTTAGAAGTCACTTGAACTCTTCTATCCTACAGCCATCATCTAAAGCATCTTTCACACACACACACACACACACACACACACACACACACACACACACCTCTGCATATTACAGGAAAGAACTGATGTGAAAATGCCACAGTACCTGCCATTGGCAATGCCCAGCGGGAAACAGAGCACCGGCCTGGGAATGCCTCCACCTAGCTGTCCACTTGAACAAATCACTGAACCTTCCTGGGCTTAAGCTTTCTCCTCTGAGGTCCTTTCTGGCTAAGCCGTTCTTGGATGCTAATAATGCCCACTAACTTCTCTTCCCACTCACTTTTCCCTTAATACTTTCCTCTTGTGGTGAGTCCCCAGGCTGTCTCCACTTTAGACTTGGCTGCTGAACAACCTTGCCAACTGCACCATTTTCTCTTCTCCCCACCCCAGCTCAAGGCTCTTAACTTCTCTTTTCCCTGACCCCGGATCTCCCAAGGAGGCCCGGCCACACAGACCACAGGCTCCAACACCTTGCAGCAACTCCCCAAGTAGTCAACTCAAGCCTGTCCTCAATTTTCTCCTCTACAGCAGGAAGCAATACCCAGACAGGCCACAGCTCTTCAAGTGTGTCGTGCTGGGCCCTATACGCTCCTTTGTGGCAAGTTCCTTCCACACCCCTTTCTCTGAGTTCAAGGGGGTGGCATGAACACGGCAGGGGGCAGGCCAGAGCTTCCAGACTTGGAAGATCCCACAGGTCAAAGCGATCCTGCCCCTGCCCCCCTGGCTCCAACCGGCCTGCACCGCGCCCCCAAGCGCTCCGGGAGCGTCCTTCGACTTGTCCCACACCCACCTTTTGGACCGTGGGGAAGCCCCCTCTCCAGCTGGCTCGCCGCATCGGAGTGCCTGCAGGGAGGTGACAGGGGAGGCCGCCGCCACCCGACTACGTGAGCGTCGTGTGTCCGGGAGGCAGGGCTTGCGCTCGGTTCCCGGAGATATGACCGGCAGGGGGAGGAGGACGACAGGAGGGAGGAGCCCAAGTTATCACACCAGGGCGGGGCTGCGGGGCAATCCCGGTCCGAGCGGCGCCGCGCGAGCGTCCCCGCGCGGCAGCCTCTCCCCGGCCATCCCGGGACAGCCCCTGCCTGGGGACGAGGGGCCAGGACGGCTCTGTGTCCCATCGCAACTCGGCGACCTGAAAGACGGCCCAGGTGTGTTTCCTTGCACCGGGAAACCGAGGCGCCGGGAAAGGAGAGACTTTTCCTTGTACTCCAGTCCCCACTGCCCAACTTCGGAGACACCCTCCGGGACTGTCGGGTCCCAGGCTGGAAGCGCCTTGTCCCAGGTTCGAACTCGGCACAAAAGTCCCATCCCCGGCCACCCCTCGCAGCCAGACCCGCGCTTCAGTGGAACATGTGGATCGAGCCAGGCTCCATCCCACCTCTGGTCCCTGGATTGCTCTTGCCACCTAGAAGCAACAGCCTCAAGCCAGCCCAGAGTGTCCCACCCCCGTAGTGCAACTGCAAGTTGGACAGTGCAGGCAGGTGCAGGGGGCAGGAACCAAAGGTCTCCACGGCGCGCCTCTCGCCGCACTTTCTCGGCCCTGCACGGGGACTCGAGGGCTTGGGGACTGACGTACCTAGTACAGCTCATAAGCCCCGTAACACACAAGCGCCAGCCCGCGGCAGCATCCGCGCGGAGGTGGCAGGAGCAGAGGCTGCGGCGACCGCGGGAGTGGGGGCCGGGACTCGGGTATGCGCCGTCGGTGGGCAGACGCATCCGTCCGTGCGCGGGAGCAGCCTGCTCGCCTCCTCCCTGTGGCCGGTCACTCGGACTCCGGCTCCCAGCCGCCGCGCTGCTCCCTTTAACTTTCCAGCACCTCTCCCCACTTGGGGAGCCATCCCGGAACCCTTTTCACGTGAACGCCCCCCACAGCCAATGGGCGCGCTCAGGACGCGAGCCGTTGACCAATGGCCGTGGAGCCGCGGTCTTGGATAGCACCGCTTCGCCACGTGATGGGCCGCGAGCCCGGAGTGATAGGGCTGCAGGCCAGGGACTGGCGAGGGGGCAGTGGGGTCACTGTTTCATCAGAAGCCTGGGGACCGGCGCCAGGGGGCAGAGGCACTTTCCTACAGAAGAGCGCGTCCCGTTACAGCCAGGAGGCCGGGTTGCAGGCAGTTTGGCCAAATTCCCTCTTCCTCCGCAAAGCCCTGGCCGGGCAAAGCCTTCCTACCCTCGCAGACGTGGTTGCAGTTGCATTCACCCTGTCCCGCGGTCCACCTTCATCTTACACTTGAGCCAGGGGATTCACAGACGTCCGCTACTTCCCCATCACCTGCGGATCCCACAGGGGCCCCAGGGGAATACAAAATGTGTTTGCCTCCGTGTTAAGTGGAAGCGCCCTGGGATTGACATCTCAGCTGTAAGGGTCATGTGGAAAACAAGCAACTACTGATGCTTGCGTTGTGCTAGTCATGGGTCTGGGTGTACTGTGAAATGGAGACAGCAAAATCGTTTTATAAAGTTGTTTTTAGGGCCATCTCCCAGAGTACCGCGTATATAGGCACATAGGTATATTTCAGAGGAAATCACCTGACTTGAATCTGTTACAACTACCCGTACCAACAGGGCCTTCATGATCTCTGTGATACACCTTAAGGTCTGTAAAGAATGCTGAACCTAAAAGAGACCAGACCCTTCCTCTCATATGATTTCATTTAAATATATATTTATATAGTCATGTGTTAATCTCCTTGGTGCTCAGCTCCGAGCTCGCCTCATCCCTAAGATGAAGGTCTTAGTTTTCTAGTTTTAGTGAATTTTGGAAATTGATAGATGGTTGTCAGCTTTTTAAAGTGCCAGGACAGTAATATAAACAAACCCTACTGTCTTGTGGTACCGTCCTTTTATTTTAAAAAATAAATAAAACAAAATTTAACAACAAAACTCTTTAACAAAACAAAACAAAATAACAATCTCAGAGTAAAGGCTGTTCCTTCACATCAGATATATTTAGCTTTATGAAAATTCATTATATTGAACATGGCATTTGGGAACTTCTGCTTTAAGGGATATGAGAGCAAATTCTGATTTTACTAGAAATGTAAAACTAAAACACTGGTGGGTTGCATTAATCCCATACAAGCCTTCAGCTCAAGACACCGCCTGCCTGTCTGAAGAGCAATGATTAGTCCTCTTCCTTCTCGCTCAAAGGGCATCTATGATAAATGACCACCTCTGAAATCAGCTATTGGTAGGCGTTTGGCAAACACAGTTTCCATGGAATATTCCCTTTGCCAACTCTCAACCCCTTTTATTAGCTGGTGAGTAGGTTGAAGATTTATTGAGCCAACTGTTGGCTATATTTCTCAAGGGTAGTGAGCGTGCTGGAAGAGTGGGCAAAGATAAAGCCAACCGGTATTGCAACATGAATGCAGGCAAAAAGAGATCAGAACCAAACCGAGAAGGAGTTAGGACAAGTAAATACAAACTTATAGCATTAAGGTTTGGAAGTGTCTTCCTTACATAGATCTAGGAAACCATGGGTGATAATTTCCCCTGTGGTTTAGATGACTATTTCAGAGCAGGAGAGTTGGGGCTAAACTTAGTTGTGGCACACCACAGTCTTGGTAGGTAGGAGTGTGGCATCCGCAAGTTTGAAAAGAGCACAGTCTCCTTAGAGATCAGAATAGAGCTGGGATGTAAGCTCTGGACATTGTTCCAGCAGAACTCAGCAGTTCCCGTGCCCCTGAACCTGAGAACTGGACTGGCCCTTAGTCACAGTCTTGCCTCACCCTCATTTTATAGCAGAAAGAAAGGAAAAACAGAAAGTGTCAACCTTTTAGTCAATGCATACCGAGTTCCTTTTAGAATATCTGGCACTCAGTTTCATTTAATCCAGCCTTAATTTCATTTAATAAGCCACCTCTCCCCCGCAAAAATAAACCAAAAGCCTAGCAGTAGTTAAGCAAAGCTAATTATCATTTTCCCATAAACTTTCTTTTTGGTGGCTATTTGTGGCTGTGTGGCGGCTATCTTCCTTGCACTTGGGCTCATCTGTGACTTCTTCAGTCTTACACATTTGTTTATTCATTTAACACGTTATTGAGTGACTACTATAAATCTGGGTGCTGGAAGTGGAAAAACGAGTGAAATGTAATCTTACTCTCAAGAAGCTCTTTTTTTTAAATATTTTTATTTATTTCTAGGAGAGAGAGAGAGAGAGACAGCGTGAGCAGGGGAGGGTCAGAAAGAGAGGGAGATACAGACTCTGAAATAGGCTCCAGGCTCTGAGCTGGCAGTCAGCACAGAGCCCGACGCGGGGCTCGAACCCACGAACCGCGAGATCATGACCTAAGCGAAAGTCGGACACTTAACCGACTAAGCCAACCAGGCGCCCCACTCTCAAGAAGCTCTTAAGCTAATAAATAATGATGTAGGATAAATGTGTGTGAAGGTTAACTCTCTGTATTTTGGGAACTAAGAGGAAGATTGTGCGTGTGTGGCTGTGGAGGTGGGATGGGAAATGACGAAGGTCAGCTGAGGCTTCTAGGGAAGGGAGCATTGAACGGGATCCTGAAGGAGGAGTCAGAATTTAGGGGTAATGGGAGAAAGCACGGCAGGAATTAGCAAAGGAGCAGAGTTCTGTATGTTTCCCCAAAGAATTTCCTCTGTGCGGATTAAAAATCAAGTCTTCTTTCTGGCTTAATTATTAGATAATGCTTCTTTATGCATGTGTTAACATCAACTTTTTGTTCATCCACAAAGTTTTTAAAAATAGTATTAATATCTTATCTCCTCAACTGAACACATTTCAAAAACAGCCAAACCTAGGTCTTATCTTCCTCCAAGATTTTGGAAGGAGAATCTCATTTTTCTCTTCTTCTTAGGGTTCCAGCTTTTCCTTCTCTTTGGAGAAAAATTATTGCAAAGTGCCTCTAAATATAAATAACCAGCATCTAGAGTCAGAACTCAAGAAGAGAACATTCTTTTGCCTGATCAGAATAGAAAGTGGGAAAGACTGTTCCCAAACTGCCTAAGTGAACTTATATTTAGACAAGTGGAGTTGTTTGCACCTGTTAGAGCTGCAGACATGTTCTGGACGCATTATGTTACCTGGGGGCCCTCTGCCCCTCTTTCAGATCTGACTGAAAGGGTCTTGCTAAGTCATGTTTTACAGGATAGGCATCTGACTACTAACAGAGGGATTCTGTAAGCCTCCTATCTATGCAGAACGTGTCCTTTGCATGGGAGAAGATCCTGAGTAATCTACGCATTGAAGCTCCTAGGGCCCAGTAGGGCATTTTTCTCACTATGGAGGACCTTTGAGTTCCTGAGGGAGGCTGATGTTTTACTTTTTTAAAAGCTACGTATTCACAGCAGTGTCCGCAGCTTCTTTATATGAACCTGATGTAATACCTTTGAATTGTATTTATTATTTTTTATGGTTGTAAAACTAATACCAGATCACTTAGATTTGTTTTCCTGGTAGAAAAC